CGTCTAGGCATCGTCCTCGAGGTTGTCTCAGAAGCTGTCCCTGAGGTTGTTCTCTAGGCGTTACCCTCGAGGTAATCCTTGGAGTCGGCCTCTAGGCATCGTCCTAGAAGTCGTCCTTGAGGTCATCCTAGAAGTCGTACTTGAGGTCGTCCTCTAGGAATCGTTCTAGACGTCGTAAAGGTAACAGCTTCACTGGTCCTCCATTTTCACTTGAGGTGAAAGAGCTCTAAAATAGTTTTAATAATAAAACTACAACTGACCTGGTACCGGGATTGGTGGCGGCACAGGGAGTGGTGGAATTAATGGAGCTGAAAATAACATATGAAAAACAAAAAAGTTCACATAAACCTTCGACTGCACGCAGTTCTGTAGGTTAATGCAGTCTACAATGTGTAGTAACCTTTTTGTTTCACTGCTTTGAGGGTGTGATTTGACCAGTGCGTGCATGGCCTGCATGTGACGAAGGAGACTTTTAGAAAACCGTTACCGCATCCCGCGCTACGCACTACCACGGCCTTTGAAGCATGCTTTTAAAAGAGACCCTGACACTCCTCAAAATTAATTTTTTTTGCCAGGCGATTCATTGCGGTGTGAGAAGACTACCCAATCAATATTTTGCTACAGTGTCGCATATATTATTAACAAAGTAAAAACAAAACAAAACTGCTCGAAACCGAAACTGACTGGGGAGGAAGAACATAGAGGAGGAGAGAGTTGGCGGAAGCCACGCGGCTGTGCAACTTTTTTTTCTCCCATCAAGGTTTTTGCAGCTTTTTGGAAGTCACAAAAAATGAATATCATATTTCTTTACTATTTCTAATACTGTGTGCATGCCTTCAATGACCCACGACTTTGATTATATTTGGTGGTTGTGTCTAAACCATAAAAAACGACTCGTGACCACTGAAAAAAGAGCGAGCGCCTCACAACGGCCGGTTCTAGATCGTCAGTTTCCGGGCGATAAGAAAACGAATTTCGAGCCACGAATTGTTTTCTGGGTGGTTGGGCTCTCATATGTCATGTACAAATTAAAACCTCGACGAGCATAAATATCCTGTCAGTTTCCCTTTAAGCGTGTGTCCGAATGATATTGTGAGTGCAAGACACGCGCTTAAAAGCATGCTTCAAAGGCTCCAGTAGTGAGGTACGCAGAACATGGTAACGGTTTGCTAAAAGTCCCCATTAACGCACCCTTGTAGTGACCATTTCTACATTTTCTTGCAAAAATCAAATGTGGGGGCACTAAATGTATGCTGCAGATGGTATACACTCTCCAAGAAGACCACCACGATGGAAGCTGGTGTGACGTCCATGCTATGCCCTGTTTGATTGCTAAACCCAACGTTACTACAGTTGGGAGCAGGTAAAGAACCCAGAACAAGCTCCTTCCACAAAGCGCCCTGCACTCTTTTCACTTTAGCTGGGCAAACACTGCAGAGGGAACGAGTCCCTCCTTACCTCCTCTGCAGCGTTCGCTCTGCTAAAATGGAAAGAAGGGAGGGCTTTACGGCAGAAGCTGTTTCGTGGTTCTTAACCTTTCACTTACTGTCAGTGCTGTGTAAAGTACATCTACAAAGTACCTGAAGTAAAGTACAAAGTAAATTGGAGGTTATGCACTTCAAGTAAAGTAGTGAGTAGACCGAGTGCAATGTGCGTGAAGTACTATAAATACAAAAAAGTTAAGTACAAGTACATTTTATTGCCCTCTTTTGTTGTGTCCTTTGATTTCCTTATACAGTGCCTTTTTAAATTGGTATGCGTTGTCCCAGGGGTGATCGCGGTGCATCTGTGTCTCTCGGAAGTGGCGGCGAATATTGGATAACGTCGAGTGGCTACAGAGTAATTATTTATCGAAATGGCGACAAATTCAGATGCCCCTCCTACTTCTGATTTTGGTGGCACTTGCACTGGCTTGCGCCCAAGGGGGTGAAATGGGCTAGGAGAGATCATGACGTCAACCCCGTAACTTCCTCAAGCAATCGTCTCGTGGAGGAGTGTCCCCTCTTAATTTTCTAACATCGTCGCTTGCGCTGACTGAGCGAGAAGTAGCGAGATCTCAATGCTGGGAAAGCCGCCCCCCCCCCCCCCAGTACAAACGGAGCGATGCGTCGTTTCCTTGCGTATCTAATGAGTAGAATATCCATCCCAAAATTTCTTCAGAGTTGACAAAGCATCATTTTGCGATACAAATTTAGCAAGACCAAATTCGGGAGTGTACTTTAAGGTCAAAAATTGTACTTTCCTCGGAAAACACAGGAAAAAATACCTCAAGTATAGTACAAGTATATACTGAGACAATGTACTTCAAGTAAAGTACAAGTTTTCTAAACCTACCTGAAGTAGTATCTTAACTCCAATGTAGTTAAAATACTTCCCAACACTGCTGACTATAGATCAACTCAGTTGCACAACTCATATAGAAAGCGGTTGTCTCTAAACTCATAATGGTTTGGATGATAGGAGGCCAACCTTTGGGGGAGGGTGGCACTGCATGTGGAAACAGTGTCTGGGTTGTCCCACATAACTAAGTCGAAGTACAGTCGAATCTCGTTAATTCAAACTTGAAGGGGACCGAAACTTTGTTTGAATAAAGCAAAGTTTGAATTACCGGGAGTTTCCTCCCATAGAGACGCATAGGATGGAACCCACATGTTAGTTTGAATTATCCACAAGTTTGAATTAAGAGAGTTTGAATTAATGAGAGTCGACTGTACTGTTGTTGCGTGAACCTGACATTGTGAAGGTGTGCTTCATGAGAAAAATCTATACAATTTGGAGATAATATGGCTGCAAGCAATATAAAAAGAAAATTAGGCAAAATTAAAAATTAAAATAGTGCCAAAGGGACATGAGACAAGTAGTAGTAGACAGCACCTGTCCTTTCTACCTCGTGTCCAGTGTCTTACTTGTGAGATTTTAATTTTGCATCATGATAAAATAACTAGGTCAGCAAAATACTCTATTAAAGTATAAAAGAAATCCAAGAAAGATATCCTACCCTCCCCATGATGGTACCCTTCACTGTCGTCCGAGTCGGATTCGACCCTCTTGTGCGTTCTCCTTCGTGTCCGCGGCGGAGCGTCAGACTCAAGGTTCGACGTATGCTCTGCCTGATCCAGCCTTGCGAGGGCCTGCTCTAGGGTATCTAAATGACGAGGAATTGCATGAATATCGGGGTCACATTAAATTACAGTTATGTGCTTACAGTATGAATGAATAATTTTGACTCTCAGTGCTTTCCAATCGGGGGTTATGGCCTCGTTTCTCCTAACCGCATTCACAATCTCCAGTTTGGTGGTGTAGGGGGGCCAATGGCACCACAGCAGGTTCTCCGACTTTTCGAGCCACCAATCGGGCACAGCATACGTGCTGCTGTCAGCTAGAAACTCAACGACATGGTACCTGTAAGTGAAGTGAAAGTGAAAGTTTATTGGGATTGTAACGGGCCAAGCCCGGTAGGGAGGTAGTGGCAAAAGGCATTTCTGCCTGACTGGGCCTGTACCCCCCACAGTTTACAGAAGTGCAAAAGGTGGCACGGTATACAGCATTGTTAGCATTCTTTTCTGCCTAAATATACATGCCTGTGTATGTAAAATACCATTTCATGCAACACATAAAACAAAAACATAAAATCTGTGTAAAAGTATTTAAAAACATGTATACTTTTTTTAGCAGAGTAAATTAAATAATAGCACCAAGTCTCGCTTTACTTTCAAGTTGTACACATGGATCACTTGAGAGCAATGGCACAGTTTAAAAAAAAAATAAAAGATTAACAGTTCCAAAAAAAAAAGTTTGGTGTAAAATCAGATTTTTCTTTTTATATATAGCAGGCAAACAAAAGGTATTATGTAGAATGCGATTATTTCCCTCAAACTGTTTCCATCATACGCTCCCCATTAACTACTTTTAAATCACTCACTGTGCACTCAGGGCATTGAATTTGGACACTGCAAATGCTAGTAATCTCAGTGGGAAATTTTCAAGACAAGGAAAAACTGCTTTTTGCATGGGCTTTGTTCATTCTATTCTATACACATTTAGTTTGAGTAATATGTGAAAAGCAGATCATATGCACAAATTTAATCTAGAACCATACACAAAGTGCCATTGAAACATAGCCGCTGGTTATATCTCGAAATGCGCGCTTAGCACATCAAAAACCTCTATTAGGCTTTTATAATGTAGACCTACATTAACCATGCATTAGAGTTGCTCCTCTCTGCCAAAGGTTTTTAGACTTGGCAGTTTTTTTAAAAAATCTATTTTGAAATTGTGTCCAGAAAAATAAAAATGCATGCTCTTTGAGGATTAAGGAAAGGAAGGCTCAGGCACCAGGTGTTTTTTCCTTTCTCATCCAGAGCCATACATGTATGTATACATACCATTCGTGTGTGTGTGTAGGGGACTTTTATAGAGCGACACCCGGCACGGCTGTTCACCAACACTGCCGTAAGGCCGCATATGCGCAGTAGCTACGTGGGCAGAAGCAACCAGGCTCTCTGTTTTCGCCATTGCGTTGTGTGGAGTGTGCTCGTTGTCGACGTTGTAGAGGCGCTTCTAGATTTATTTGTGTGTCATACATCCTGTCAACATGTCGTATATTATGCCCGACTATTTGAGCTCGCTACCCGACCTTGAACGGTAGTGGTGTCAAGACAAACTGTGTGGATGGCATTGCCTTCCAATGATCCATACGCCGCAAACAAGACCTGCTGGACTTCCCACGTGAAGTTACTGGCACCGACATCAATGGCTCACGTCTGTTATATATTGATTGTTATCGATTGAATCAGACCCCGACCCATGGATTCAGACGGGCCGCAACATGTGTGTGTCCCACACAGCTAGGCCTGACTTTTTATTCACGAGGGCAAACCGCCACTAAGAGGGCGCCACTAACATGTCGATATATACATATAACATGCCGCCACACAAGTAACAAATGCACAAAAATAAAATGTCCGACTGGGTTTAGTACAAGAACCTTGATGGAATCTTCACAGGTCTTCCTGAGCGAGTCTGGCGGGGTTGAGCTTGTGGTGGCGAGTCTGTTGCATTGGACTGACGAAGGGAGGTGCTGGCAGTGGGCGAGGAGTCTAGAGGATAGTAGTCCTCAGCCGTCAGTCGGGGTTTCCTCGGGTCAGCTTTCCGGTTGGGCTTGGGCTCTCTGGAGTCGATTCTCACACGAAGGTGATGGCGGTTACGTGCGTAGCTCTGGCCATCTGGCGATGTCACCTGGTATCTTCGTGGAGCTGGACCCACCTGTGTCACAACTGCTTTTCTCCAACTTTTTCCATGCCAAAACCAAAATGGCTGGTTCTTCTGAAAAGGAGGCATCTCTTTCGCATGCTGATCCGCATGTTTATGCTGTGCACGCTGCCTTGCTTGAGGCTGCTTGGAGAATGACTTGTGTGGATAGTGTGGCAGCAAGCTGCTTGGACAGGCTGGTAATAAAGTCCTTATTCTTCTTCCCATCAACATTTCTGCCGGAGATGGAAGACCGTTACTTGGCGTTGCTCTGTAGGTCATCAACACTAGTGCCAAGTCCTTTCCTTCGGAGAGAGTCTTAGTCATTGTGGCCTTGATGGTTTGTATTGTCCGTTCTGCTTGTCCATTGGACCTCGGAAAGAGTGGTGACGATGGGTTGTGGACGATATCCCACTCCTTGTTGAAGCTTCTATACTCCACAGAATCAAATGGGGGGCCTTGGTCACTGACAGCTTCACTTGGTGTGCCGTGGCACGCATACAGCTCCTTGAGCACTGATATAAGAGCAGATGCCGTTGTAGTCGACATTTTCTTGACTTCCACAAACTTCGAGTAATAATCTACCACAAGCAAATAAGTGGTGCCACCGTGGTAGAAGAAATCCATGGCTACTTTCTCCCATGGGCGTATTGGCAAGTCTCGGTCAAGAAGTGGTTCTCTTTGATTTGCTCCTTGGTGGCGTTGACAAACTTCACAGCTGCTGATCAGCTCCTCGATGTCCTGGTTTATCCTAGGCCAGAAGACGCTTTGGGAAGCCAGGTTTTTGCATGCGACAATGCCGCGATGGGTCATGTGAAGTCTAGAGATCACATCCTTCTTGCATGCTTCTGGCACTACTAGTCGTTCGCCATAGCAGATGAAGCCATCGGTTATGTAGAGCTCACTTCTTCTTGAGTAGAAGGGTCTGACTGACGGGTGGACCTTTGAGATTTTCTTTGGCCAACCGTGCTCGATGTAGGTCGTTACACGCTTCAAGACCTCATCTGCTGCCGTGCTAGCTTGGATTTCAGCCAGCTTTGCTGTGGATGCGTGAACCAATGTGCAGACCAGGACACCATGTTCCTCGTCTACTGTCTTGATGGTCTGCGCTGGATTAGGTGCACGAGACAGTGTGTCAGCAACTGTCAGGTGTTTTCCAGGCACATGGACTAGCTTCACCGTGAAACGCTGGATACGAAAGAGCAAGCGTTGGAGTCTGGGGGAGATTTTGTAGAATTCCTTTTGGTGCAAGCCGATGAGGGGCTTGTGATCAGTCTCCACCACGACGCTTCGACCACAGATGTAGTAGTAGAACTGCTCACACGCAAACACTACGGCCAACAGTTCCTTTTCTATTTGCGCGTAGCGCTGCTGTGCCGGCGTTAGTGCTGCTGATGCGTATGCCACTGGATGTCCGTCCTGCAGAAGGATGCTGCCAATTCCATATGAGCTGGCTTCGGTTGATATCACAATTGGTCGCGCAGCATTAAAGTAATGCAACACTGGAGCAGTGGTCAGGTTGTCTTTGATCTCCATGAATGCATTGGACATCTTGCGAGTCCAGTGCCATGCCACGTCGGACTTCAGGAGCTCACGCAGAGGTTGCGTCTCTGTTGAGAAGTTTGGAATGAACTTCATAAGGTATGTTGCCATTCCGAGAAATCGCAGGAGCTCTGCCTTGTCATTTGGTGGTTGTAAGGCCTGGATTGCCTTTACCTTTTCAGGGTCAGGAGCAATGCCTTCTCGGATAAGCTGGTGACCAAGGTAGGTTACTGTAGACAGACCCAGCTTGAGCTTGTCCTTGTTTAGCTTCAGATTGTTGTTGCGTGCTATTTCAAGCACCTTTCGCAGATGGGTTGCATGGTCACTCTGTGTTCTAGAGGCTACCAAGATGTCGTCAAAGTACGGCATCACAATGGTTTGGCGCTCGAAGATTCTGTCAATGGCTTGCTGAAAGAGCTCTGGAGCTGTGCTGAGTCCAAACGGAACTCTGAGGAACCTGTACCGACCCCAAGGTGTTGCAAATGTGCACAGGTACGAGCTCTCTTCATCAAGAGCCAGCTGCCAAAATGCACTTTTGGCATCAAGCACTGAAAACAGAGTGTACCCAGATAGCCGCGCAGAGAGTTCTTCTGGAACTGGAATGCGGTAGTGCTGCCGCTTAACTGCTGCATTTAGGTTTCTTGGATCCAGACAGATCCGCACATTTCCATCTTTCTTTGTGATGATGACAATGGGATGAACCCAGTCAGTTGGTTCTGTCACGGCCTTGATAATGCCATTGTCCTGCATTCTTGTGAGCTCGGCCTTCACAGTTTCTTCGAGTGCACTTGGCACCCGGCGAGGGGCAGTCACCGTAGGCTTTACATCCGGTTTCAGGCGAATGCTGTATTCTCCTGGGAGTTTGCCGAGTTGCGAAATCCCACTTCTGACACCATGTTATATATTGATTGTTATCGATTGAATCAGACCCAGACCCATGGATTCAGACGGGCCGCCAACATGTGTGTGTCCCACACAGCTAGGCCTGACTTTTTATTCACGAGGGCAAACTGCCACTAAGAGGGCGCCACTAACATGTCGATATATATATATATAACAACGTCGACGTTTATTCAGTTTTTTCGCCACGCCACTTCACAGCCCACATGGTGTAGGCGTACAGGTCTCGAGGCACACAATTACTTTGAGCCCCTTTCCGCGCTGCCGGTGGGATCAGCAAACTGTGGGTCTGCAGAAGTGCATTTACTAATTGATTAAATACACACAGCGTCTTTAAGTCAAGGTATGATATTTTTCTTACCCTCATGACCACAAGGCACGACAAAAGGTAACGCTTTTTCTGTTCTGTCGCCGGTCACCTTCCACTTACTATAGCTGTGGTGTAGGTGTTACCGAAAGAAAGTAATGAAATATGTTACTCGTTACTTGCAAATAAAAGGAATGCATTACATCCATTGATGTGAAGTAACACACACGTCACTTATGCATTTTTTATTTATAACTTAACAATAGCGGTGCCTTTTTTTTGTGCCAGCATTTTTTGACATTGGGACAAAGGGCAGGGCATTGTTTTTTGTTTTTTTTAAGTGGGACTTTTTGAATAGGGAAAAGACAAGCAAAACGTTGAAGGTAGGTGAAATGTAGTGCAACAATTAATGACTTGGCGCCTATACTTCATATCAGTTTAAGCCCAGACGCAGCCGATGCTACGAGCTAACGGGACAAATCAAGCAACGTCAAAAGAGGAAGTCACTGAACCTTTCTTGTTTATGATTCATTCATCGATGATAGAACAGATACAGAAACATGACAAACACCATGATGGTGCGCTTTTGATGCTATTCAATTAATCCCATCAGCTCGTAGCATCGGGCTGAACATAAAACGAAGCATGAAAGCAAGCGTGAAAAAGAATTACTTTTTTCAGGTCTTGGGGAGATTATATAATGATTAACATAACTATGCTACGCATTATTCTTTACTCTCCCAAAAAGTAAGGAGTATAAATGACTATGTTACAGAAAAAATAATGCATTGCCGCCAACACTGGTAGCGAGCCACCGACGAGCGCTTGGTCGGTGCTTTGTGCGCGAACACCGTTGGAACAAAATCTGGGTGGTCTCAATGAGACAACGGTTTCCCTGCATATAAGCAAGCCTCGAGACGGAGATTGAAATGGAACCACACTTGCATTCAAGAAAGTGCTTGCCACACAAACGGTCGTCCTCGTCCCAAGACCATTCTTTTCGATCCGCGGATATTACCACCTTCTACACCTTTCAGAGTCAGCCGAGAACTTGTGGAAGCTCACTCCGAGGAATTTTCTGTACCTTTCGATGCAATTAACAGCTACACAGCTTTGCCGCATGTTGAAATGCTACGACATCCATGCAAAACGCGCGCCCTTCTGCCACCCAGCTCCGGCGCGATCACAGCACCTCTGCAGCTCCGCGATGTCAAGCCCGACACGTGGGCTTGATGTCACGGAGCTGCGGCGGGCCAGTGCTGTTACCTTAGCAAGAAAGTCGCCAAATTTAGTGCGTTTTCAGTCGTCCTAACGACTTTTCTGTCTTTTTGGAGTCTTGGTAACTTTACTAAGGACTTTTATCTTTTTTTTTACAGTTAGGTAAATTGTTGTTACTAAAGCTACATAGAGACTCTCCAGTGGCTTTCAGATGACTGCTCCGGACGTCACTCATTTTTTTTTTCCTCCTGTTGAGGGTGAGGGTGATGAGAGGTAGCGGTCATGCAAAGACATTCTCAAACCACGATAGAACCACTCCCCTTTTCAGGGATTATGTAGCAGGTGTTTGTAAAATCCTTTTTGAACGTCGCAAAAAAAAAAAAACTGCAGGTATTGACGCGAGCAGCTTTGTTTGACAAGTTATGGAACAAACCTGCTCACGACGGTTAAACTCCAGGACAACTTCAGTGTGGTTATCGAAGATAACCCCCCTTTGAGGATGAGGGTTTATAAAAAAACTGGTAGCTACATGAATTCAATGCAGTCTTTTGCTGTTTTGCTCCTGGTTCAGGATCTTCTCGCTAACGCCTTGGCGAGCTTGTTGGGAATGGGACGGCCGGCGGTTAGTTTCCGCAAATAACACAAGCGTTGAGGTTTGCCAACTTGCTGGACCTAGCGTTATTATGCCTCCCAAGTACAATCACCACTATAGAAAAAGTTGGCAGTCTTCACCCGAGTTTAAAGGCTGGTTACGTTCTGTGGAAAACAAAAGCACAAAACCATCCTGTGCCTATTGTGGGAGCGAATTTTATGCGAAGCTTTCCGATATAAAAAAGCATGCCACCACCACCAAGCACTAGAAATCATCCAAACCGTACTACAGTTCTTAAGGAAAGAGGCTGCAGTTTCCAGCCGCAACCGAGCCTTCTTGCGGCAAAAGTGAGGCCGGTTTCTGCCTGTTCATATGCGAGCATTAGCGATCCTCGCGACTGACCACCTGACAAAACTCTGCAAAAAACAGTTCATGGACGGCAAAAGCACAGCAGGCTTGTGCATGCAGCGAAACAAGTGCACGGAGATCATTGTGAACCTGTTCTCTCCGCACTTTGTAGAGCTCTTGGTGGCCGACATTGGGGACTCGAAATACAGCCCGATCAGCGATGAGGCTACAGATGTTTTCACTACCAAGTTGCTGGGTGTAGTGGTGCGGTACTTTAGTGCTGCACAGAAGAGCATTGTGAGAATATTCATGGCGTTAAACAAACTGGACGATGGCACGGCTGTGGCTATCATCAGGCGTTGAAAAGCCTCCTCATGCGCATGAGACTTGACATGAAGCGTCTCCTCAACATTGGAGTTGACAACGCTTTGGTGAACACGGACGTAAACGGTGTTTTCAAGACAATGAGGCGCGAGTGGCAACTCCTGAGCTTGATAATGGCAAGACATATGTGCCATTCGTTGCAATTGGCACTTTCCCACGCTGTTCAGGGAACGCTTCTGAGGAACGCAGACTTCTTGGTGCAAGAGGTTCAGCGCGCCAACAAGGCCTACGAGAGGAACGACGCAGATCCTGCGAGGCTTCTTGAAGACCTCACACTCCCGATAAAGACGGTATGTAGCAAAGTGCTCACTCCAACGGCGGACATCGATAGCCCATTGATGGTCACCTAGATCCCAAGCCGTACTTGGGATACGAGTTCGAGAAACTAGTGAGCACGCTGCCAGCTGTTCCTGAAGTCAACTTGGTACGCCAGCACTGCGTTGTATTCACAGTTAAGCTAACAGCTTTGGCTGGACCTACCATCGAACTACAAGATATTGCAGGCCATGGCATGGCTGTCTGTGGGAGCGTGCCTGCAAGTGCTCAAAGAACCTATTATGGAGCTGGCAGAACTTTTTGGTGTACAACCAAACAAGATAGATCTCGTGGACACCCAGTGGAAGATGCTAACCGTGGTGAGTGGGCGAGCACCACTGACACCATTGCGTTTTGGTCTGAGCTCCTTGCATACTGCGATGCAGCTGGCTCGAACCAGTTTCACGAACTCGCGCACCTAGCAATCATTGTGCTCTCCTTGCAACACTAAAACGCAGAGGTGTAAGAGTCTTTAGCCAACTGAGCGTTGTGAAAACAAAGCAGAGGAATTCTCTCAGCACTGGCAGTACAAATGCCATCTTGAGCGTTCGTAGTGGACTTTGCCGTCTTGGGAAGTGCTGCTATACTTATGACCCTCCCGACACAGTGACAAGTTGGAACCATGCAAGCGTACTCCTCAGCTTTCGCATCTGGAAACGGTGCATGTGCACAAAGCAATGGCGAGTCTGCAGACGAGGAAACATTGTGATATAGAACTGTTGCTCAATTTCTTGCGTATAATACAGTTCAGCGACTTGAGTGAAATGTAGTTTCCAATAAAATTATTTCATATTCTATTGTTACTAGCATTATTGTGTTAATATATTATATAAACATTAGGTATCATCTGTGAATGCAGTAGGCTGTTGCTGAAAGCAAAGTAACAAAGTGAAGCCAGTAAATCTCCCTCGGTAAGGCACCATGGGAAAGATTCACGCACGCCAAACGTTTCACTGCCTCGCGAACGTTTCGGAAATATTTTCATATTCCGATTGATCAGTTCATTCACCACTGGAGAAAGTAATTTACAATATTGTTTCAAATAACAAAGCCCTTTGCGTGTCTTATGCAGTTGAAGAGCTAAAAATTAAGCAATTCCGGAAAAAAAAACTCGTCATGATCATCACTCGACTTTCAGCTAAAACTGGTCAGACGGGGCAACTTTTCCAGCAATTTTGAGGTTGCTGGCGAGTTGTTCCCTAGCTTTTCCTAGATCGACGAGAACGAGTGAGCAACTCAGTTGAAGCGGCTGCAGCCAATCAGAGACGCAATATTTTCACGTGACACCCCTGTAGTGATGATGAC